ATATATATATATCCCCAGTAGTATATAGCACAGCTCCCTATACACTTTTCAAAAATAAATAAATTTGCTGATTTTGTTAATATTGTCAAATTGAATTAACTGCCTTAAATTTTTCATTCAGTTGTATGTGTTGTTTATTTTTTATTTTTTTTATTTTTTTTATTTTTATTTTTTTTTAATTTAGATCTTTTTTTCTTCGTCCAAATACAACAAACTGTATTAAAAACTTACTGACAGGTAACACTATCCTTCAATTGAAACAATAATTCTCAAACAATAATTACTCTGCTACCACCACATTGTTAAATACCAGAACTACCGTATAAATTATTGCTCAGTTTGGTTACCATGACAATAGTGCCACAAATAATTTACCAATCTAAAAACATGAGCTCAGTCCTGGCCCAATAACCACATAGCCAAACTAGTCGTAGGTTCTATTTTTGACATAGCAAACTTGTATTTAGGTCTATGTTAATAATTCATTTAAAAATTAAAAACAATAATTAATAAACATTTTATGTGTAAATGTAAATTCATTTATTACCACATAGACAAAATAACTGAGTATTTAGAGGAAGTAGAGAGCAAAAAGTAAGTACTGGAGTAAGAAAAATTGATGCGCACACAAGAAGCACATGTTTAACCTTATTAGTGGTGCGTGATTTGTTGCTTTTTTGGATGAGGGCCAATTTTCACGCTGCCTCTCCGAATTTTCTTCCTCCATGACTCAACCTTAGGCTTAAATCTTCTTGTGGATTGCTGGTGTTGTATTTAGTAATAGGTAACACATAAAACTTATGTCATCATGAGTGTCCATGCAATATAAATAATAAATAGTGTTTTTAGTGTTTTAGAGTGAGTGATGTAGGCCTAGGCCCATTGAATTTAAAAGGTAGGAAAGGGAGAAGAAATAAGGTAGGCTTAGCACAGCACAGTGAAACACACGGTTCCAATGCTACTACCCTACTGTCAGTGTCAGGCTGTTTTTCGTCAGCTACTAGCTTACAGTTTATTGAAATATACAGAGCTAGTGCATTTCTCTTGTATCTTCTAATTGTTTATATGTACACAATGCTTATCAACACATTGTTAATCAGGGATATAAGATGACGCTGCGTATAAACAATTGATAAACTAAACATTTACCAGTGAATTTATAACAGTGAAATTTGGGGCATTCTAGGGAAATGGCTAGGCATAAAAACGTAGGCTAACATTTCCAAATCATAATTTTTGTACTTTTTGAAAAGCGCACACACGCCTTCAACCCCTCCCCGCGTAAGTTTTGTACGCTCGTGAAAATGACGAAAATAATGGATGACCCCTAACCAGAACATTGGGACATTACAAGTCAAACGGAATTCTCAGGCCCAAAATATATCATCAATTGAGATTGGTTGCATATGCCACATAGTATACCAAACAAAAACTTATAATTATTTAATGTCAATTCATCGCCTTCAATACTTATCCTAGTACTTAATTAATAAGGAGGGACTAATAACTTGTACTAAGACATTAAATTATTGGTTAGGCCCAGTCAAACACACACAAACTTAGTGAACAAAAGGAATGTGTTTTGTTGGGTAAGGTAGGGGCCTGTGTTGTTGCCACAATTAGAACATACAACACAAAGCAACATTTGAACACAGCAATAGATTGTACAGATCTTGTGAGATAACCATCATCTACAGGGGTATTTTAACAAAAATGCTGCATACTATGAATGAATGAATGTGAATAATTATATCATTATTCCAAAGGCAGATCCAATAAGGGGACAGCTCATGTACCCGCCTCCCCCACTACATTATTTTTAATTTCAATACATATCAATACCATGTATTGTAATATGAAAAGAATTATAGAACTCAAGTACAAAATGTTCAAATATGGCCTCCGGCCCCTTTCTTATATGCTACTGCTGCTACTTTGTAGGGTTTTGTTAATACATTACAAACTTACCTAATCCCTTGGTTGCCTTGAACAATTTTGTTGAATCTTCTGATTCATTATATTCTTTTGGTTTACTAAAAGCTTGTTTCTGTAATTTGACATCATAAAAAAAACAACTAAATTATGTCATTTTCTAAAATTATATATTTCACAAATTACTAAATGAATATATGATCTATGAAGCAATCTCATATCAATAGTATACACCTGCTAAGCACTAAGCTGGGCCCTGCTGGAGAAAAGTAGATTTCTACTGAACATGTTACCCAATATAAAGAAGGTAAATTTTAACACTCCTATGCAATAGTTATTATTTTTATTACATTAATAATTATTATATATTATTATAGTTAATAAATAGAGGATATGCCACCACCCCCAAAATGATGGTGCCCCTGAGGTGGACAATGGGGGATATACAAGCTCTGACCTTGAAGTCAATGATCTGATATCAATTTAAATTAATTTTGTTGTTATTATTTAATGTAAATCTTGTCATTTGCCTAAATGAGAATGTTTCAATCGGAAGGTTGGGGGTTCAAGACCGATGCTCGTCACACTACTTGTGCCTTTGGTCACAACACTTTATCAGCATTTGCCTCTCTTCACCCAGGAGTATAATGGGTACCTAGTAGGAGGTGAATAATTCGGAATGAAATTAGTAGTGCTGATTATTCACAGAACTAGAAATACTCCCCGGGGTGCAGAGGAGGTTGCACCTTGTGTATCCAATGACCAGGGGGAAAAAGCACCTTCAGCAGTTTATTGGATATACTCAATTCAAATTCAAATTTTATTTTCTGATGAATAGAGATTATCATTACAAAAATAAAAAGTCGAAGCCTGCCATCCAAGGATTTTCAAAAAGTTTTAAGCTATCAAGTGCCCCTCCAATGGTCAAAAAGAGAATATTTGACCATTAATATAACACTCGGATCAAGTTTTAAATTACATATCAGTTGGTTTCCTATCATAAATAATTTATTTTTTGCATTTGCATTATTGTTATAAATTAGTTATAATTTAACTGTAACTCATTCTTAGGTCAATTAAAATAAAATTATAAAGAATCTATGTCATCATTGTACGAAAACATGCCAAAAATATTAAGGGGTCAGTTTCTTGGTTAGTGTCCCCTGAATAGGGATACCCTTATTCAGCGGACACACCTATTAAGGGGACATTATTTTTGGTCCCGAAGGTGTCCCCTTAATAGGGGTTCTACTGTAACTTGTAAAGCGAGGGTTTCAAACCCCCCACCTCAAAGTTAAGAGTCTGAGCCCCAACTTTGCAAAATTTTAAAGCCATACTTTCTTTCTTTCTTGTTCTTTCTTTCGGAGATTACCTAGGGTCGGTAATCTCGTTGCCTGTTTCTTCAACATTCTTTTCTCGGGGGATGGTTTAATACTATCCGTTTGCTGTGGAAGTAAGTATATAAATTACATAATGAATTTTTAAAAATATCCTTAATAAAAAATATGTTTCAAATTTCCTCATTTCCTCTACAAAAAAAAATATTTAAATATAACTTGAAGAAAAATAGCTTCAATTGAAAATCAAAAGAAAAAAATACCATTGCTATCTTGTCCTAATTTTATGCCAGATTGTATATATATAATTGAAAACCATAGACTTAGCCAGCGAGCCATCCGGCCGTCCTTTTGAAGGCCTACAATTATTTAGGACGGCCATTTTGACCGTGATGGCTTGGACGATTGGCCTAATCAGCTCAGCCTAGCCTAATTGGGCCTGGTCTACCTTTAGCAAATTCTTTATATTCTTCAAATCTATCGAATGTTACATTAAACTAAAGCTAAATCATATTTACGTTTGATAAAAACAACATTTACAACAATGTACATAAATGTACATTGTTTTCGTACCAATATTTGGTGATTCCCATGGGTGTGGCTCCAAGTGGGCGTGGCCCGTCTATCGACTTAGTGCCACGCCCACTGGCTTCCATTTTGGATGGCCTATATTTTTTTTCCTGGCTAAACCCCCATTGAAAAATGTGACTATCTGTGACTTATTGAGAGTGACAACATATGTGGATCTTTCTAATGACCAATTCTTATTTTTCTTTATACCTGTAGGTTATTGTTTAGTTATCTTGTTTTTTTGTTTCTCATTCTCTAATTTTCAAATTGTTCTGTAATGGTAATTATTTAGCATTGAATTGCATCCCTCTAAACTGCATTGCCTTTTTAAAATGAAGTTTTGATTTACTTTAATTTGTATTTGTTTATTTTCATGCCACCTTTCATATCACATTATTTATATTACGTTATGTTATATGCTTTGCTTTTCAATTGATTTTACTTACATTATTGTTTAATTTAATCATTGTCTGTATACATCTATATTAAAAAATCCTAATACTGGACTAACAGGCCTGAGAGCCAGAGTGTTTTTCACACTATAGTTAATCCTAGCCAACTTAGGTTATATATTGTCTTAGTTTTTGTTAAATTTCCTGTCATTGTATTGTATGTTATTTCATTGGCTGAATAAAGAATGAATGAATGAATTCAAAGTTATATTTTATTTTAAAGGTATTTTCTCAATTTTTGATGGCAGTACATTAAAACATCTGTCCCACGTGCATATTGTGAATAATACGTATTATGTATGTATGCAAGCAATGGAATTTTCAAAATGGATGAGAGTAAAGTTTGAATCTCGAATGTGCCGCATCCCAGTCACCCAGAACATTAAAAATTGAGGATATCAACATTTCCAACACTAAATCAAGAACAGAAGGATAAAAAAATAAAATCCCTACCTCATCTTCTAACTTTTCTTCATCATCATCATTTCCTTTAGTTGAAATTTTCATTTCATCAAACCCTCTGGTATCAATTTCATATGATTTTACTTCTTGTGATTTTTGTGAAAGATAGTATTCATGCATGAGATATTCATCCTCCTGTAAATACAAAATAGTTAAAATTTTAAAAATCAATGAATTATTTATAATGTAATTAACTATTTACTAGAAATAATCCATTCTAATGAGGGCGGTCGGGTTGCCAGACCCCTCTCAGGGATGGCTAACTTCCTCTCCATTGGGACTTTAACACACTTTGTCAGGAAGAACGAAATATCTCATTAAAATGTTTTTTACCTACCCATTTATCTGCATCATAAACACCGCTTACATTGTTTAATCTCCTCTGCATATGGTAATTTTCTTGTGCTATCTTCGCTTGTTCTCTTTCCATAAATGGTCCATTCAAACTAAAAATACAACAAAGCATAAGAAGCTTGCAAATTTTAGTTTAGAAATGCTTGACCATAACAATTAGGCCTATATTGTACATGGGATTTAAATAGAAAATTAGCTTCTTTTGGATTACCATGCTCCTCTCTTTGAACTTTCTCATTTCTCTTTTTGTTTTTTTTTTTGTGGGGAGGGGCCTAGCCCATAGGCCCCTGGATTTTCCCCTGATCCCCCATCTGCCCCATGATACTCCTTGATCCTCAATTATTATCATTAAAACCTTAACATTGAGAAGACTACTATAAATATAGATAGTCTTTTTTCTACCTTTTTGGCTCATAATCCCAGTTCCAATTGTCCAACTGTCCATCTGACCGTAGCACATTGGTCAGTTTTGCTAATAGAATCCTATTTTCATAATCTATTACAGCTTGCCTCTCTTCCTCAGCCTGTAATATTATAAAAAAATGTTATACTGTACATCATGGTGAACTCTAAATTTGTCAAAGATCATGGATTTGTTTGTTTTTATGTCACTAAGCTCAGTCCAAACCATCAAATTTTATGTGACAAGTTTGTGTGATGTGCAGGGGACATAATGATGTCATATTACACCCAAATATTACATTTTTTTTCAAATAAAATTTGATGTGTGGACAGAGCTTAAGACAGACAGGGAGGAGATGTGGTGCACTGGGGCAAACTCCCTCAAATTGAACTCTCAAAACCTAAAAAAAAAAAAAATTTCCTGACACCCTGATGGCAAAAGCAAACACTGAATTAAGAAGTGGGTTTCCAAAAACAAGGTTATAGAAAAAAATCCACTGTGGAAGTCCACAGAGGGGTAGGTAGGTAGTGGTACTGGGGCCCAGGGCTATTTTAGGGGCCCGTTTATAAATGGGCCTAAATGATATATAAAAATACTTTCCAACTTAATATTTTTAAAGAAAAAATGGCCAGGTTGCCCCTAAAAAATATTTAGGTTTTAGAGGAGTGATTTCAATTCAGCTAGGATTCGAAGAGACCCCAGCCAGCCTAGGCCTCCCTAAATTTTCCAAAATTATAAAAGAATGGAAAAAAATGACATTCAAATTTAAGTCTGACGGTGCCTTTTCCAACCATTTTGAGGTGCGATACGGCCAAATAAAAAAAATTATTGTGTTGGCCACGCACGACCGACTCAAATTTTACGACATTCAGGGTCAGCATTTTAGATTTTTTTTGGTTTTTTTTTTTGGATTATAAGTAACAACAATTTTTTTCATTAGCATATAAGGCTGGAATAGCCTTGGACTAGGATAGGGGGTTAAGGCCTAGCCTATTTTGGTGCATGATACTGTATGCAATGTCTATATCCAGACTGAAGATTGCGCTGTTGCGATTCGAAACCAGAAACTAGAAGCCCAGAGCGTACATAACAAGTAGACCTCAGCATCTAGTTCCACAGAATATTAAACAAGCATCAGTTTTGTGAAGGGAATGATAATCCTCCAGAATTTACCTCCTGTCTATGTTGTACGATCGCTAATGCTATCGTGTTTATTTTACAACATTGCGTATCAATATTCTAACCATTTGCTCACCGCCCCGAGTTAGTAATTGTTGTAACGGTCTTTAAATTACGAATTATAAAATTAGTAATATTTCATTTACTTGTATTTGTGTAATTTTCACAATATCAAATTCTGTGCATGTGAACTGTACAGGTGGGCAAAATTTAGCGGCCTAAGCGTAGGCCTAGCTAGTAATTCATTTCTTTATTTAATACATTATTTTTGTAGTGAGTATATGCCACTCTTGTTGTATGTGCGAGCTTATCCAAAAGAGTAATTTGTGACTTTTAGTTTTAACAGGGAACAGTGAAATTATATGGAATGATCTCGAACTACTAAGGCGTGCTAATCCTAGGTACCTATTGTTCACTATATGCTTATTACTGAACTATATTTTGCGTCCGACTCGCGAAAAATGCGGTGATTGTCGATAAACCTGAAAATAGACCTAGGCCAAGCTATCTGGCATCGTACTCGTGTTTGTATTAAGCTATCCTCCTAACTGCATGTTGAGCCTGGCGGCGTACATTTTCTATTGTTAAAACGTCAATAATTTAATTAATATTTTATTTATTATTATTAAGCCTAGGCCCTTATCTTATCGTAGTTGGCCTGCTCAAGTGAGGTTGTTTCATTTGTCACCTGTATCCCTTTTTATTTTTTTTTGTTGTGATAGCAATTTAGTGATGATGCATTGAGTTAGGAAATTGAGCCCAATCAACCTCGATAAGTTTTTAGCTTATATAAATCACCTATAGTTAAAACTGTTTGTTTTTTGTTTTTTTTAATCTACTTTAGGTTAAAGTCAGAAAATGAAAACCCATAAATAAGGTCTTAGAAAATTTTCTAAGGACACTGAAATGGGCAGAGATGAAAGAGCGAGAGATTGACTCTCAGGTCATCATTTTTACTCCATTACACTGCTTTCTTGTCTCCTCCTCAATCAAAATAAGATTAGATGTAATTTATAATAAATTTTAATAATTTTTCAACCTTTAAAAAATTATTCAAAGCCCAGGCTGTCATATGTTTTATCATTTCCACTGCAAAGTTATGTTTTCTTGCCTGATCCAAATCAGTTTTCATTATAATTTACTTTTCCTTCATTTTTTTGTTTATTTAATCCACTTGTAAAACCAGTGCTGCGTCACTGAAAGTGCTATTAATAAAAAGACAGAATTATTAATAAATATAACTGGTTTACAAAATATAATTTATAATTGGATTGCTATTGCAATTACATACAGTGTAATGGTAATTAGATAAAATATACAGGTCACCAAACAGGCAACATCCAATGAATATTGTCGATATTACGTTCATTTTATATTTTTAGTAAATTTATTAAATTGTAACTCTTTTACTCGCATTTCATTCATTTTTGGTGTTCTAAAAGAAGTGTATTGCAGGGATGGGCATAAAAATAGGACGAAGGGCCACAATATATTTTTTATTTAACACCGAGGGCTGCACCTAATTTTCCTTTAGAACTAGAGTACATACCTGGTGTACCGCAAGCATATATTTTTTTCCTGTTAATTGTTTCATCATAAATTTAATAAATAACAATAAAATAGCGTACAGGAGAGGAGTACAATACTACAGCAACATAAACTACCACTTCCCTGCATAAAAACACCATCCCACAAACTGTATTGTCACAAGTATGTTTAACAGGTGAACACAGGCATAGGGCCTAATATAATTTTATTTTTTTTAAATAATATTATGGATACATGATTAACAGTCCTAGCGAGTATATCTGCCGACTGTATTACGATAACCACAGAGAGGTGCACAACTCTAGTACTCATAGGTCTCTAGGCTAAACGGAAGAAGTATTTGCAACAAACGTCCATGCTAGATCGCCTGTAAGGCCCGGAGCCTCCCAAACTAGGCAATATAGGGCTAGGCTACACCTGATCATGAGTGACAGGTGTACAGGTTACGTTCACCGTCCTTGTATCTAGGCCCGAATCCATGTCAAACTCTTGATAATTAAAATATTGATACTCTAGATTTATTGTTTGATTGGTATTTTAAAATAGAATATAGACCGTTAGCCATCGAGCATATTTGCAAAATATTAAAACAATCGTCGCAATGTAGGCCTAGGCTTAGTCCCCATTTATTGTTTCTGTATAACATTTAGGTGGTGCAATTCAACTGTTCCCTGGTATGATCATGGTATGATACGACATCGAACACCATCGGAACACGATAGCGAGCATACGCAAAGCAATTGTAATCAGTTGTAAATTGTTTATCAGTTGATTATGATAAGAGCGGCGGTATCGCGGGTTATAACCTTTGATGTTCGCTTCGAGATGTTTCCATGTAATTTCACTGTTTCCTTCTTTTAACTACAACTTCTGTCCAGACTATCAAATTGCATTTGACAAAAAACTGTTGGATGCCCATATATAGTCATGATGTGCATATGGCCATGATGTGATGTCATCATGACCATATTTAGGAATGTCACATGTTTTTGTCAGATAAAATTTGATAGTCTGGACAGGGCCTTACCTGTATTTTCTTCATCTTTATTTGCAAATGATAGAATGTCTTTGGTTGCCTTGTATCCAACCCATGTTTCATACCATTGATCTGCATGGAAGTCAGAGGAACAATTTCAGAATTATCAAGTACGGAACTTCCGTAGTTGCTACGGAAATTTTGCCTAATTACGAGACATACAGAAATAAACAAAAATACTATGGAAATGTATGAAAGGCAACCCATAAATAAGGTCTAACATCCAGAATAAATGACATTTCCATTAAGATATGTGGTTAAATTGTTCCCCCAATCCAAGCAACCCATATTTTGCAGTCAAGGCAAATTATTAGGTTAAAGGGAAATTGTATTTACCATGGATATTTGAAATGCATGTTACTGAATGACTTGAATCTACAAATTGATGATAAAGATTTAAATACAGTTAATAAACTTTTCTCCTTGACATATATGACAACCAAGGATTTAGCCAGAAAAATGAAATAGGCTGTCCAAAATGGAAGCCAATAAGCGTGGCACAGAGCTGATGGGCGGGCCACACCTATCTTTGGGAATCCCCACCGAATATTGGTACGAAAACAATGTACATTCAATCAATAAATGTTGCTTTTATCAAACGTTAATATGATTTAGCTTTAGTTTAATGTAACGTTTGATAGATTTGAAGATTATAAAGAATTTGCTAAAGGTAGACCAGGCCCAATTAGGCTATAGGCCGAGCTGTTTAGGCCAAGCTATCAAAACCATTTCGGTACATGTGGCCGTCCTAAATAATTGTAGGCCGTCCAAAAAACAGCCGGACGGGTCGCTGGCTAAGCCTATGATGACAACTGATATTGAAACTACGTAAAAACAATCATTAATAAGCAATTATAGTCAGGTTTTAATTAAGTACACTATAGGAAATAGAAGCCATAAAAAGCAATTATTTGAAGGTAACAATGATTCCTAAGGCTTCTATTTCCTATAATGTACGAAATTATTTGATGATGATGAATTTTAGTATATAAAAGTGTCATTTCCGGCCATCTAGAGGTACTATTTCCTCAAATTTTCGGACCTCAGCCCCAACCATGATGGGGCTGAGGTGGTTGGGAGATCACGGCTTTGAAGTATGAGTACATACTCAAAAACAATGTTTATTATAAGCTTTATTTTCTATGGTACATCACACATATTAATAAGATCTCTATGGTTGCCGAAAATCCCTAATAAAAGATCATGAGAAATTTGTTGGCACTTCATTTTGAGTACATGTAATCAATACAATTGGACAGTCCCACACAATTTTTCTGATGGGTCCACAAAGAATGGCCGGTCTACATTTTCAAAAATAGGTCTAAATTATACTGTTTTAGCACAAAATGAGTCCTGTTTTTGAAAAATGGGTCCAGATTTCTCATATTTTTTGTAAAATGGGTCAACTTTTAAGAAAATGGGTACAGATTTTCCATATTTTTGCGTAAAAAAAGGTCCACTTTTAAGAAAATGGGTCCACATTATTTGAATTTACACGTAAAGTGGGTCCACAATGATATTGTTCCGCACTGTTTGAAAATCCTGGCTACGGCAATTGTATACTGTATAACGGTGATGTGACGATGAGTTTTACAAAAATGTCATTTTCTGGTCATCTAGAGGTACTATTTCCTCAAATTTTCGCACCTCAGACCCAACCATGGTGGGTCTAAGGTGGGTGTCGACTCACGAAATGTCCTCCCACCCTACCTCCACCTTTCAAAACAGATTGCCCCATTCTTGGGTATGACATTAAACTCCATCGAGTCGACACCTGACTCAGAGTATGTCTTATTGACTACTGATGAGGTGGGAGTGCATAAATTTGTTTTTAGGATGTGATCTGGTTTTACATCCCCATTTTTCGTGATTATGACTATTTGGATAAAGAATGATTTGAGCAGTGGTGGATTGAAGGCAATCCCCTCCCCCTAAATCCCCCCTGGGAAAAAAAAAGAGAAAAATATAGACCCCCTATCCAAATTTAAGTCTGAGAGTGTAATCCCATCTAGAGGTGCCCTAATCATAAATTTTCGTACCTCAGCCCCAACCATGGTGGGGTTGAGGTGGGTGGTTCCTCAACCTGTAGTCCCTGGGTCACCTCTCTATTGAATTCCTGGATCCACCACTGTTGAGTTTTTATACTGTATAATTATTGTTAGGCTTACTCTCAAAATGAAAATTCACTCTTTCACATTAAGAGAGTACTAATATTATTTATGATACATTTATTGCAATTTTCACTTTATCATTTCAGAGCGTGCTACTTTCCAGGGGTCTCCCCTGGAACCCCTCCCTCCCATGGGGTCTACGTACCTCGCATAACGGCTCCCCCCCCCCCTTTCAAAATCCTGGCTATGTCCCTCGTTAGTTATTTGTATAGCGCCTTTCTTTTCAGTTACGAAGCGCCGTTACGGGTCCACGTGCTTAAGTGTTGCTGCTGACAATCAGCGCAGGAGCAGGTAACCCCACCAGATTCCCATTTATACTCCTGGGTGAAGAGAAGCAATGCAGATAAAGTGTCTTGCTCAAGGATACAAGCGAAATGCACAGCGAGGTATTGAAACCCCGACCTCGAGGTTGGGAAACCAAACCGTTCCCACTACACCAAACCGCTCCCTGACTATAATTGCAGTTGTGACGTCCATCACGCTTTCACCATCACCGACTATGGTCGGTCGCGACCATGGTCGGTTGCTTAGTGATCACTGTGCATCTGCGCATTTTTAGATTGATTTGTTAGTTGTTTTGCCATTGAAAATGAGGAAAATAACAGCATAGCATGATAGATAAAGGTTAGTTAGTGCAATAAATATATTTTTTGATAAATTTTGACATTTCAGCATGTTTTGGCCATTATCTCCAATACAGGATTTGCAACGAGTGACTGGTTTTGCTTGTCGGGAATAGGGAAATTCAGTGCAAATAAAAGTGATGACACCGACTTATAAAACAAATTACAGTAAATGTTGATTTGATTTGATTTCTTTATTTGGCTTCATAAAATATGTCCAAAGATTAAAAAGTTGGACATCAGAATACAAAACTTCACAAAATATACTGTGGCAGATCCTGGAATTTAAAATACAGGGGCCCAGAGAGGATAGGATTTGCAACGAGTGACTGGTTTGGCTTGTCGGGAATAGGGAAATTCAGTGCAAATAAAAGTGATGACACCGACTTATAAAACAAATTACAGTAAATGTTGATTTGATTTGATTTCTTTATTTGGCTTTATAAAATATGTCCAAAGATTAAAAAGTTGGACATCAGAATACAAAACTTCACAAAATATACTGTGGCAGATCCTGGAATTTAAAATACAGGGGCCCAGAGAGGGACTTTCACAGATTGAGGGTCTATACTACCTCAGCCCCAATATGGTTGGGGCTGAGGGCAGAAAATTTATGATTATGGCACATCTAGAGGCCGGAAATGGCTAAAAAATGTCTGTAAGGGTTGGAAATTTTGAAAATCTGATGTCTATATTCCTCTTGACTTTATTTAGAATACTATTGAACCTTTACAATTACAAGGTGTTGTAAATGATAGGCTTTTCATTAATTAAGTCAAAAACCTATTTCACTTGAATGACCAAAGCCAGATGAGTTTTCAACAATCCACGAAGATTTTGAATAGCATTCATCTAGCCTAGTCCAATTAAAGTTTGTTTACACTGTATACAGTACAGCCGTAAATTATCACTCTGTATCTGCGCGTAACCTGCTCGTAGGTACAGTGTTTGACCGTGGCTATGAACAACTACGAGTTTAGTTTATTGATAAAAACTGGGGAAAAAATTATCAGATTTTTCGTTTAGATATGGTTTACCATACAGTATCTGATTATTTTCCTGGATTTGAAAACATGTCAGAGAATACAAGATTTTACTAAACCAGTGATATCAAGAGGGCAGAGGAGGGGTTGCAGAGGCCTAATCCTCCATTGGACAGCCCATGCTCCCATCTGCCAGGACTCGTCATGTAACAAAAGGGGGTAATCGGCATCTATTTGCTGAAAACATAAGATTAGCCTAATGGGTAGTGGGGGTCTAAATACCGATAGTGAGTCCGGATGGAAATTTATCACCAATTACTAACAAGCAGGCCGGGAAAAAAAATGTTTGTGCCTTCGACTATGAAAATTATCTTAATGCATCCAGGACCAAATATTATTGTTACACTATTTTAGCCAGTATCACTCGCACCCAGAAACAGGTCAACTCAGCCACAAACCAACTCGACCACAAATTTGGTTGAGTTAAATATTTTATTCAAATAGTAATTTTTTTTTTTTAATAGGAATTTCTCCTACTTTTTACTTTAGTGACATATTTTGATATATGTTAAAATTATTGAATGTAGGCCTACTGGGCGATTCCATGTATTAGAAAGTCAAAAAGTTGCCAAAATTAAATCAAATAATGATCAGAAATATCTGCTTTTGGGTGAATTTCATAACCAATTAACACCAGTATTCAAAACAATCCAGATGTGACGGAACTAGGGGGTGCTGCGTTATGGAGAGTAATGTGTGACCGGAAATGGTCTGCAGTCAGTTGGTTGTTACCATGCGCCAGTGATGATGGAGTACAACAACATGAAACTATCTATGTAATGCATGAATAAAGTTCGGGGTTTGTCGGGTAGTGAAATGATTATTGTACATTTTAAGTGCTCCAGTTACTCCATGATCAATTAGCGATTAATTAGCGAAGATATGGAGACAATTATTTCGAAGTTCGAAGAGGGGATGTAAATGCTTTGTGAAAATGAGTACGCCGCAGTACTCAAAGGAATACACGCAGCTGGTTAGCTAATAATATGCAAATGTTATATGAACAGTGGAAGGTGCAATATCACGTTCTGTACTCAGCTGATGGCAAGGTGGGGGGGGGGGAAACGGTAAGCCTACTGTAAGTTGGTTAGCCAACAATATGCAAATGTTACATGAAAACCTGGGAAGGATGGCACATCTCATTCTGTTGCCTAGCATACTGATGTAATGTGTAGCGGGAGACGGTGAGGCTATTTACAAGTACAGGTAAGACTAGGCCAGTAGACAGTGCAATT